GGGAAGAAATATTCTTAAAAAGCCACGATTGGAAGAAATAGACATTAAAAAATCAGGCTTAAAAGAATAGTTTTAAAAATCCAGGGATATGGCCATGGAAAAAAGTTCTTACAAATTCACACTTATAGTTCTGATAGTCTTGACAAAAATATTCCCAAATAATTCATTTTAGTCATGGAAAAAAATAATCTTCGCCAATTCGGTGTATTTTTGTTTATGGCCATACATTCGGAGGAATCGAAACAAAATCATTTTTCCCGCTTCTCAGAACCACCATTTTTGCCTAGACCTGACTGACTGTATTCACCGTTCCCAAATTCCACAATGAACAAAACAAAATTTATCTTCATTCCATGTTGTTCATTTGTCCTGTATTGGATGCCAAGAATGCAGCAGATCACTGACTCACTGAAGGCCACCAAATCAAGTTTACCAGGATATTCAAATTCATTGTGATGCCAATGGCATCTGCTATGCAACGAAAATCCGGCGAATTGCATGATGTGGCTAAAACTGGATCTCCAGGTTTTTTATGATATGTCAGTGGTAATGGAACATTATTTGGAAGACAAAAACAACAACACCAACCGAAAAGATGCCACATTGACCTTGTTCACACAGAGCAACCTGATAACCAGAATAAACGAAAACAACAACAGGAGTAGGAACAAGAGCAGCAGCATAAGTTACGCAATAATATGTTTTTGCTTTTATTTTGTTTTATTATTTTCTTCAACATCATTTCCTTCTACGTCAAAACGAGAACAGGTTGTTAGCATCGAATTGAAATTGAAAGTGTTTTTTTTGTTCTGATTCTAACAAGTGAAGCAGAACTATTAATTTTGTTTCAGTTGTTGTTGTTCTTTTTTTAATTTTACAATTCCTAATGAATTTCTGGTTAATTTGTTTAAACAGAAACCCATCTATCGGTCATTCTCATTGTTCGCGGAGGTGAAAGAACTTTATTATCACCTTTTTTCAATTACAGATCTTTACGTATTATCGCTACTGGCACTAAATTGGCACTTCCATGAGTTAATTAGTCTTTGTGTTCTTCGTTGGGGTTTTTTTATTTTAATAAGCAGCTACCTCTTTTTCTCGGGGCGTTTCGTTAACAGCTGCCTCAGTGATCGTTTCATTTAATTAACAATTTATAGATAATATTTAAGTTAAAATTATTTCAAATTAAACCGTTGCCGATTGCCATCAGTGATTTGTCTGAACATGTTTTGTACTGTTTTTCTTTTGGCGGTATATATTTTTAAAATGTATTTTTTATACTTTGTAGTTGATTTTTTGATACCGTTTTGTGTTCCTTCTTATTGCACAGTGGTAATCTGGCTATGTACGATTTTTATACCTCCAGTCTAGAAGCCAATGAGGGAACATACCAATCGACAAAAATGTGATTCGGAGTCGATTTAGAACTATTCATCCACACGATATAGTATTGCCCAGTGGTAATCTGTCTGTGTATATATTTGTATATTCTCAGCTTTAAAACTTATTAGGGAATATACCCTTTGATATGACAAAAAGTTTCCTCCACGATTCGGAGTCGATTTAAAGTTGATGTAGTCATGTGTGTTCGTCTGTCCATTATAATTTGTAAACACGTTTCAGACCATAGCTATGGACAAATCATAACGAAAATTTGCCACAATTATGACATCAACATCACGAAATTTTACAAAGAGAAAGAGCCCTGATCAGAGATCAGCATGATAAATGGACCTAGACTATTACTGAAAAGCATAGACTCCATAATTTGATAGTATATTCAAGAAGAGTTGTTGCCTCTTAAGGGGACCCCCCATCATTCTCAGTGTCACTTTTTTTATTTAGTTCGAATCTCTAATTGAAGAATGTCCCTACAAATTTTCAAGTGAAAATCTCAAGAACTCTTGAAGATATAGCCGATTTATTGTGTCAGCATCAAGTGATGGCAAGAGTGATTCTCAAACTTTAAACGCATTTTTCTCGAAACTGTGTGTTTACGAATGGCGGGAATGATAACTCAAAAACTAATAATCCAATCGGTTCCAAATTTTTACACATTTCACTGGGAGTGTGTAGCTATCGAATGAACTAGGATAAAGTCAATCGGTGAAGATCTTCCTTATGTTTATAACCTCCACCATAGTATGGAGGATATATTAATTTTGTCATTCCGTTTGTTACTCACCGGAATATTCATTTCCGACCCTATAAAGTATATATATTCTTGATCAGGGTAAAATTCTAAGACGATCTAGCCATGTCCGTCCGCCTGTCTGTTGTAATCACGCTATCTTCCGAAAGAATTGAGATAGGGTGCTGACATTTTGCATAGGGTTGTCTTTTGTCTGCAGGCAGGTCAAGTTCGAAGATGGGATATATCGATCAACGTTTAGGCATAGCTCCCATATAATGGTATCCCCCAATTTTCGGTATTTTTGGGTTCTTGAGCGCGTTTTTCAACTGAATTCGCTGAAATTTGGTACATTGGGTCCTTATTGGGTACCAAATCACTCCACAAAAATTTTAGTTATAAGTCCATTTTTTCTGTTAGCCCCCATACAAAGGTACCCCCAAATTTCGGCATTTTGAGGTTCTTGAGCGCGTTTTTCAACCGAAATCACTGAAATTTGGTATTTTGTAGCAGTATATGGAAACAAATCTCCCTTCCGAAAGTTATTAATAGTCAACCCCATATAACCCAATTTTTTATATTAATATAATTATCTGATTTTCCGCGTTTTGGGTTTCGTTCTAACACTCTGTTTTAATCATTTCACCTGCGAAGGATATCGAGATAAAAAAAAAAATAGAACGTACGGTTCGATAAAGAAATATATGTGAACTATACCCCGCATTTAGGCTTAGCCGTAGCCCCTGTGTGGGAGGTACCAGACGGCATTGACCGATATTCCCCAAATTCGGACTTGAACTAAGTTTGGAAGACATAATAAGATGGGATGAAATAAAATTTTTCTGAAACGGATTTGGTCGAAAGAAACATGGGGTCTAGAACAAATATTTCGATGAGGCACATTTTCACCGTGTGAAAGTGTATTCACACTAATTAGCCATAAGGATGAGGGTATAATTTTCTATTGAAAATTATTTTTTTACATAATCGGTTTGTAGAAATGTCGATATAAGTCAATTTTTTGGTATTTTCCCTATATTTTCGTTTTAAGTACCTGCCAGTATATCTATGGTGGAGGGTATCCAAAGTTCGGCCCAGCCGAACTTAACGCTGTTTCACTTGTTTAACTTAGTATGTGGTCAAACATTTGCGAATTTCAACAAAAAACAAAAAGAAAAAAACAGTAAGGAAAGTAGTAAAGTTGGACTGGGACGACTATATGATACGCTTCACCACTTAGGGCATATTCTACATATGTATCCTAAAAGACGTCGCCTTTTCGAAGGAACATTGTGATTTTTATCTATCTCTAAACCCTACACATGTCATTCTGCAACCTATGCTAAATTTTGTAAATTGATTTAAAGAAAACTTCACACAATCTATTCGGTATGCTGCACTGTTTAAATTTAATCTCAATCAAGCATCCATTGATTATACAATAAACATGAATAAGTCGAAATTATATATATGATATATCTATATCTGAACCGATTTCAAGGAAACTTGCCAGAGATTAATTTATATAAACTTCAGTACGTTTTGTCAATCGGCTTAACTATGGATCTTTATATAGGAGGTTTCATTCTATACTTAATTCAGTACGCTATACAAAAAATCGAAAGGTATTTACATAAAATGGGACGAAATTATATATGGGAGCTATATCTAAATCTGAACCGATTTTAACCAAACTTAGCACACGTCATTCTAGACGTAATTGAGTACGCTATGCCGAAATCAGTGCATATTGAAGGATTTCCATGGTCTTTGGTGCACTATTTACCTAAAATCGGGCGAAACTATTTATGAGAGCTATATCTAAATCTGCACCGATTTTCATGAAGCAGATCAGACATCATTCTAGACTTAATTCAGTCCGCTATGCGAAATTTCGTACAAATCTAATGATTTTCAGGGACTTTGGTGCACCATTTACCTAAAATCAGGCGATACCATATATGGGAGTTATATCGAAATCAGAACCGATTTTCAGGAAACTTAACACACATCATTGTAGAAATAATTCAGACCGCTATGCCAAAATTCGTGCAAATCAAACGATTTACAGGGACTTTGGAGCACCATTTACCTAAAATCGGGCGAATCTATATATGGGAGCTATATCTAAATCTGAACCGATTTTCACTAAATTTAGCACACATCATTGTAGACGTAATTCAGTACGCTATGCAAAAAAATCGTGCAAATCGAATGATTTTCAGGGGCTTTGGTGCACCAATTCCCTAAAATCGGATGAAAGTATATATCCAATGTTTTGTCACTTGCTATTTCGGCCAATAATGAGCACTTGTACCAAATTTCATCCACCTACGATAACTCCTTCTATTTTTGGCCACTGTTAGTATGAACTCCCGACATAGTACAGCGTGGCAATTGTTGAAGCTGATTGACCGGAATCGCACGTTCTTGAGGTCCCTCGTCATTGGACGCTCCAGAAAAGGACGATAAGAATCCGTCTGATTAATATAGAGCTGAAAGCATTGTGGAGTAAAATATTGAACTTCCCAAAAATATAAGACCAATTCATTGTGGAAGAAGTAACAAAACTTCTGGAATATCCTACAGAAAAAAATCAGAACTTTTATTCAATAAAGGATGTGTCACAACGTGAATGAGAACTTCTATATTCTGCAAATTGGAAGAAAAAAACAAAAACATAGGTTGTTCCAGCTGTTAATCTGTTCGTGCCAATATTATAAACGCGTCCAAGTGAAGGGGGGTTACGTGACTGACACTTATGCCTGTTTGCAGAAACGATGCTTCTGCAGTCAGGAATCCGCAAATATTGAAGAGTAAGGTTACCCCCTAAACAATTTAGATCTCGTTCTTCGCTTTGTCATTGATTATGTGTTCCACAAGACGACTAAATCCCCAAACATCGACAAATTATTTGAGTCAGGATTTGATGAGTAATTACAATCAATTGAAAATAAACTTTAGCAATTGTAAAGGGTAATAAGGGAAACAGGCGGCTGAAGAGATGATCATTCACCGCACTCGTGTCTTCCTCCACTTCACTGAGAGTGGTGAGTTCAAGCAGGTCCACAATGTATGCTGGAACTCTTGTGTCATTCTAGCTCATCTTACGTTTATTTTCTGATACAAGCGCTTATTCAGGATTTCATTCCGGGTGTTGTATGAACATTTTTCTTTTGCAAACATCAATTTATTGAGAAAAAAAATGATTTCGTAATCCCGGAACAGCGTAAAATCTATTCGTTCATTTCTTGATCATGGATGTATGTATGAACATTTTTCTTTTGCAAACATCAATTTATTGAGAAAAAAAATGATTTCGTAATCCCGGAACAGCGTAAAATCTATTCGTTCATTTCTTGATCATGGACAGATAATTAGTTCAGTAGTCAGTTTTTTCATGCTGAAGATTTCAAAGAACCATCGATTGCTCTATGTGACTACCCTGGAAAAAATAATATTTAAAATACTGTTCAGCAACAAACCAATCTATCGATTTGTTTCCATTTTAATAGCTGGAAGTTAACCAAATTTTAACAGAATACAAACAAAAATACATAATTTTTTGCGACTACCAAAAATGTAGAAGTCAATCAGATGGTGCGTTCTTCAACACGAACTCTAATCATGTTTAACTTAATAGTAATTTGTGTTTTTTTTTTGTCGTTTCCCCTATTTTCGAGTTGTTCGGTCGCTTGTCAAAAAACCACCAATAATTTTTTGTCACCAACTTGTTTTTGCCATACATATAGAACCGAAAATAAAACACAAACTGTTTTTAAGCATGTTCGACAGCTAATTCACAAAACATGTTTCAACAATACTACATAACATGTGTCGATATTTTAGGAAACTTCTGAAACCATTAGACATCATTTTAATAGTGCTAATATTTTGATTTCATAATGTGTGAAATTTGGAAAAAAACGAAATTTCAATTACTTTCGCTTTCGCATTTGAAAATAAAGAATATAAATATCGATTTAATTTATGTATTGATTTGCAGTAAGGAATTAATGCCCACATTGTTTATATAATTTTTTTTTAAATATGCAAATAAACCAATTGTACAGATTGCAGTGATAAGATAAACTGTCAACAGCAATTATCGAATAAAACACGCTTCTGTATCACCTCCACTGTACGTACATAGGTATATGAAAGTTGATACTTTAATGAAATTGATATCTTCACCCTAATTTAAGACTACTTTAAATCGCTGAATTAATTAGGATGTCCGAGAACACGGCTATTTATTATGCTGTTAATATAATCGCTTAATTGCTTGTTTGGGGGTAAATGAGAAAACAATTAATGAGTATTTATTTATATCTGGGTTTTAAAAAATACCATATGTATTACGGTTTTAGAAAGTAGCAATCTGATTTTGAGACATGCAATATTTACCATGGTTTTCTTTTAAGTTATCTAAAAATGTCCGAGCAAAATAATGCGATGAAACTTTTAGAAGACTTATTCGTGGCAAAGAGCCTATGTCTATAGACAGAAAAAGCCTTCAAAAGGAATAGCCACAAAAAAGACTAATATTTTATTCTGATTTTTATAACCTTGATTTAGTCACATCCGTATGTCTGTTAAAAAAAAACATAATAAATACCTATTGGCAGAAGATGTTCAATGTGAACCTATGTTTGATAAGGGTTCTGGCCGACATTCTCAGTGGCGAGATAACTCCTGTAGAGGTAGGCCCATCTATTGAAATTTGGCACAATTTCAATGGAGAGAGTTAAAAACTTGAGAATTGGAATGCGAATTAAGGTTGAGAAGTAGGGAGGACGTAAGGAGGGGGTTTTGAAAGCGTGTACTCCTCTATACGAAAAGTACTGATATGTACTAAATTTGGTACAATTGGAATTTGAAGAAACGAATGAAACTGGAATCCTATAATTTGAAATTAACATGATGCTGGAATCCTGAGTCGGAGTGTATGATAGCGATATGCAGCTAGTTTTGGAAATTTGTACCTATATATATGGAAGATACTAAATGGTACTATATTTGGTACAATTCGGATTTGGTTGAACCGATTGAGTTGGAACACTGTCATTTGGAAATAAGATTACTGCAGCATTGCACTATGGGTAAAAAGTATGATTTTTTTTTTTTGGCATAAAGTCAATTTTTTTATATAAAATATATTTTATATAAAATCTATAAATTGTAGTTTTGTTCCGTGGAGTGTAACTTGTGAATGGCAAAGCATTGCAAAAAGGTGTAAATGCCAAGTTATTAACAAAAGTGTGTTAATTAATGAGTAACTAGCCTTTTATGTGCTATTTTGTGCCAACTCGTGTTTTTTACTGATAAACATGTGTTTGCCCATACAGCTCTTATTGAAATTTGGAGCAGCAAAAATCGCTCAGAAGATGTACTTGTGAAATATGTGTTTCACAATATCAATAATAACAGCTTAAATGAAGACCAAATGCGTTTGATATCGAAAGAAGTTAAAGATTTTGTTAATTATATAAAAAATCAGTTGCCAAATTTCAATCGTAAATTAGAGCGATTTAAAACTAAACATTCAAAATGGCTTAGCAAAAGTATAATTATAGTAATGGATGAGCAGTATGTTTTCCCAAAAAAAAAATAGGTCGCCCAAAATTAAATTATAAACATGCTGGACCTAGGCTAAAAAGGAAATTAGCCTCCGAAGTTGCTTCACAAAATACGCTTTATCATTGCTGCTACGGTTTCCGCCAAAATATTCAACGACAGAGACATGGCCTTTGTTTTGAATAAAGCAGTCGGTAATGAAAACATAGCCGAAGTAAGGAACAAACATTTTGTTATATGCAGTTATATGAAATAGTGCCCCAAATCATATGAAAATTCGTAGGACATCTTGGGAGCATAAAAATTGTATACAAACCAAATTTCACTTCAATAGCTTTATAAACAAGAAAGTCGGGACAAATCGGCCAGATCGGCTATATGGCAGCTATATGAAATAGTGCCCCAAATCATATGAAAATTGGTAGGTCATCTTGGGAGCATACAAATCAAATTTCAATTCCATAGCTTTAAAATTAGAGTTTATGCCAAAATAAACGTAAAAAAACCATAGTGCAGAATTGAGGTATGTTGCTAGTTTGGGAAATTCGTACTCATGTGTACTAAATTTGGTACAATTTGAATTTTGGGTGAAGCTATAGAACTAGAATTCTGAAATTTGGAGTTAGGATAGGGGTGTAGAATGAAAATTTCCACTTATGTCTACTAAATGGTACTACATTTGGTACAATTTGGATTTAGGTGAACCGATAGAGCTGGAACACTGAAATTTGGAAATTAGATTATCGTTGGATTGCAAGATTAGGAGTTTGGATGTAGTTTTGGAAATTTTTACATATGGGTACTAAATTTGATACAATTTTGATTTAGAGCTGGAATAGTACAGATTTGAAATAAATATTACTCATGGAGTGTAGAATTGAGGTATGTAAAAAGTTTTGGAAATTCGTACTTATGTGTAGTAAGTGGTACTAAATTTGGTACCATTTAGATTTAGGGTAAACCGATAGGTCTGCAATTCTGCAATTGGGAAATAAGATTTTTATTGGATTGTATGATGTAGGTAGTAATGGAAATTTGTACTTATGTGCTAATTGGTACAAAATTTGGAACAATTTTTAGTGAACCGATAGATCTGGAATTCTGAAATTTGGAATTTAAATTATGGTTAAAGTGTATATGGGTGTAGTTTTGGGAGTTTGTACTTATGCGTACTAAATTTGATACAATATGGATTTAGGCGAACCGATAGAGGTGGAATCCTAAATTTTGGAATTAAGATTGGGGTATATGGAAAGTTTTGGAAATTCGTACTTATGTTCGTTAAGGTAGGCAGTCATAGAAATTTATATTAATGTGAAAAACTTGTACTAAATTAAGATTTGAGTGAACCTATATTTGAAATTTTGAGTTTTTGGAAATAAGTATTACAAGAGTACAAAGCTAGCTAGATTTCTGTTTCGGTCAGAATTGCTGTGTTGTGATATGGAGGTAGTTTTGGAAATAGTGGTTGATATTTTGTAATGGTCACATTATATGAATTTACATTTTGCAACCAAAATTATAATATTTTAGCATTGCGAAGTGGTTGTAATTTGACATTCTGGGACCTTGGTGGCCTCGGGACCTTGGCGGCTAACCAGCTATGAACTTTGTTGGTTAGCCACTCAGGTCAACATGGCTTCGATCGATTCTATGTAGTTTGAATGTACACATCATGGTTGAGTTATAAACATGTCGGTGCAGCGGAATTTAACAAAGTTCTTAATTATATCCTTCACCACAGAGTATTATGTCTTTGTGCATATGTTTGTAACAGGCAAAAATAATCGAGATAGACCATGGTTCCTTTTGAGAATATGCATAGAATCACTATCTGACTCAATTTATGCATGTCCGTCCGTCCGGCTGTCCATGTTAAATTGTAAACAAAGTACAGGCCGCATTTATGGTCCGAATTGGATGAAAGTTGGCACAGCTCATTTGTTTGGCCCAAGGACAAACCCTATTGAAATTGCGAAAAATCGGTGCAGATTTAGATATAGCTCCCATATATATTTTCGTCCGATTTAAGGTAAATGGTGTACCAAAGTCCCTATATGTCTTTTGATTTGCAGGAAATTTGGCACAGCGTAATATCATATCGTACTGAATTAAGTCTAGAATGACGTGTTGTAAGTTTTGTGAAAATCGGTTCCCATATATATTTTCGTTCAATTTTATGTAATTGATGCACCAAAGTCCCTATATATATCTTTCGATTTGCACGCATTATGGTATAGTGTACTGAATTAAGTCTAGAATGATGTTGCTAAGCTTCGTGAAAAGATTCATAGGTAGGCCGATTGACACAACGTACTGAAGTAATATAAATCAGTCTCTGGCAAGTTTCCCTGAAATCGGTTCAGATATAGATATATAACAAAAACGCGACGTCTGTTAGAATATATATGTAGAATATACCCAAAGTGGTGAAGGGTATCATATAGTCGACCCAGTCCGACTTTACTGCTTTCCGTACTGGTTTTTGCCATAGATAATTCTTGGTCTAAAACAAGCTTGTTCTGATCTCAGAATGGTTTCTACTTGTCTCTGAATTCTTTTCTGGATTATGTTTGTATATGGTGTCGAACAGCAGATTAGTATATATACATCTTCAAACTATATTTCACCTCATATTATGTGGTCAGTCTTGATTTGTATTTAACGTCAGCATGTTTCTTTTTAGTATTCTGTTTGTATACTGCTCATATAATCTTACTATACTCTGGTATGCAGAAATTCTATAAAAAAGCATAAACCTTCTTAATGACGTCAACAATGTCTGCCGATTTTTTTTTTGCGAAATTTTCCCATTCTGCCAATACCACGTGGTTTACCGATTTCATTTTCGATGTAAACTTCTACAATAGCATATTCGACCTTATTCGAGAACTCTTTAAAATGTTTATGTCTAATCCAGTTCATTAGTTCTGGACGAAGTCGCACGTTACACCAAAATTAGATTTACTGCAAAAATGATGAATATATGTCAACTAACTTAACACTTCAAGCTATTTGTACCAGCATAAATACCTTTTAAACAAATTGAAACTGATATACCAATGGTTAAATTAAAATAGTTTTGTATTGCTGATTTGTTGCAATTTATCGTTTACTCACTATTTCCTTATATTCCCCACACAATGACCTTCACCCCCACAAAATATATGTTTCAAATATTTTTTTCCTTCTTCCTTCTTTGTATTTATTTTCTCATTCATAAATTTCTCATTTCAGGTATTCTACGATTTTTTGGTAAGGTAAGTCTAGCGTCTACTCATCAACTCAACTATCATCATGTTTATGTTTTTTTTTTCATTCTATCATTTATATTATATATGATTACTGTCAAAAATTGGTTATTAAGTGCTTTATGATTTATTATAATATTTATTAGGTATTGTTTAGGAATTGGTTGGAAAACGATACGTATTTAGATAACAATTGATGACAAGAATGCCACATTAAACAAATTAATTTATGGTATTTTAGAAATAATATTCTGATTTTGCTAGAAAGCTGGATTGCAGTGCATGTTTATAGATTGAGAACACTTGTTGCTGTATTCATATACATGATTAATTTTAATATCCGAAGTCTTCACATTTTAATGTCACAACAATAATTCGAAACAATGAAATTGTAGGCCTCCCCAAATGTATATTAGGTTGGGGGAAAAGAAATCTATTATTTTTCGGCAGATGGCTGCACTGATAGATTTCTCGTAAATTATCGATGAAACAATTGCAAATTTATGCTCGTTGGAAGGGCTATATATCTCTCGATTTGCACGAGCCTAATGTTTTAGGTCTAGAATGACGAGTGTTAAGTTTCCTGAAAATGGGTCCAGATTTAGATATAGCTCCCATATACCAAATCCCCTATACATCGTTCGATTTGCACGAAATTTGGCACAGCGAAATGAATTAGGTCTGGAAAGATGTGTGTCAAGTTTCTTGAAAATCGGTTCAGATTTGGATATAGCTCCCATATATATTTTCGTCCGATTTATAGTAAATGGTGCACCAAAGTCCTTATATATCGTTCGATTTGCACGAAATTTGGCATAGCGTACTGAATAAAGTCTAGAATGATGTGTGTTAAATTTCGTGGAAATCGAGTCAGATTTAGATATAGCTCCCATATATATGTTCGTCCCATTTAATGTAAATGGTGCACCAAAGTCCACATATATACTTCGATTTGCACCAAATTTGGCATATCGTACTGAATAAAGTCTAGAATGATGTGTGGTAAATTTTGGTGGAAATCGAGTCAGATTTAAATATATGTCCCATATATATTTTCGTCAGTTCTTGTGTAAATGGTGCACCAAAGTCCCTATTTATCCTTACATTTGCACGAAATTTGGATTTATATGTAAATAAAGAATTCAAAATGTGGCCGAACATGTGACATGATGATGAAATCGGTTTAGATTTCGATATTTTGCTTTTAATTTATTTACATAATTTTGTCCCATTGTAATAAGCATATCTGACCAAAATTTAGTATATGTTGACAGTCGTAACATCGACCATAAAGCCATTTACAATTGAAAAGAAACGGCCTGAATTGGCCAACAGGAGATGTGTCGTATTTCACCATGACAACGCTGGACCACACACATCTACAGTGACTCACCAGAAACTTCGGGAGCTTGGTTGGGAAATTTTAATATATTCGCAATACAGTCCAGACTTGGACACCAAGAGATTATCATCTTTTTCTTGCATTGCAAAATTTCTTTAATGAAAAAAAATTGGTATCTGGAGAGGATTGTGAAAATCGAATACTAGAGTTTTTTTGCAAATAGAGAGCAGGACTTTTATAAGAGAGCCATTATGAAGGTTCCTTTAAAATGGCAACAAATAATACAACAAAACGGTGCATTCCTGACATTCCGAAGCATGCAAAATAAAGTCCTATAGTTCATAAAAAATAATGGATTTCTTTTTCCCCAACCTAATATATAGTCAACCTTTTGGTGGAGGGTATAAAATTGGTCGAATGGCAGGGCGTTACTTTCGAGTATGAGGAAACCAAACATCACAAAACAAACAAACAAACAATGCACACAAACAACATCAAGTAAAACAACGGTATCACAACAAAAACATAAATAAAAACAAAAGAGTACTCGGCAAGAGTGTAATCTGCTCGATTTCGAGCGTATTTCACTCCCACTCGAAAACGAGCGAAGCACTTGCGCTCTTATTTGAGTGGCAGAGAAAAATAGAGTATACTCTATTTACTTTTTCTACTCGCAAGAGTACCCCCGCCCGAATTCGAGCGAGCATTTCGGAGCTCTGCAATGATTACAACTTTCATAGTATACGCAATACGCCATGGTCGATCGCAAAAAAATTTGAATGTCGCTTTGTTTCGGATATAAAAGTCCAAAGAAGGTACTAAACAACGCCACAAAAATTATTTAAAAACATATTTTTCATGATTTTGAGCGACACTTACTCCGACAGATATATACATATATTACAACCCCAATTTCGAAATTAATACACCCTCCAGTCATGGTGATTTTTATTTTCAGTTTCACAACCTTATCCCAACTCTTCTAGAATTTGTCTAAAATCGAATTCGCAAAACTGCTACACTTTATATGAATCAGAATATTCGCTTCTTATCTTAACTAAATAATATATTTAAATTCGTTGATATAAATTATGTTAATTAGTTACCAACAACACCCGAAAACTGGATAACTGGAGGAGTGGTTTCGCTTTACTAAGTGGTTCTGGTTGGGAAAGAAACAAATACTTCCTTGTTTTGCTATGAATTAGATTCTTGTTTAACCAAAAAAAAAAAAATTTTAGTAATAAAAATCAAATTTACATAAAACCAATATATCAAATTATGCTACGGTGGCATTATACACATAAAACAAACGACTTAAGTAAAAAACGTGTTAACAGAAGGTCTCACCAAAGACTAAATTTGAAATTAACATAAATGCAATATATAAACCGTGGTGTAAGATTTATGGCAATAAAACATAGTGCTAATGTGAATGTATATCCAGATTTTTTAGTCCGCCATAATAATTTCTTAAAAATAGAATTTTTTTGGCCAACACCATTCTTCTCCGTATTTAAAAACTGACGTTTTATTTATGGCGGCACAAATATAAAAGTTGTAGATATCAAGTTCCACAGTATGCCCGAGACTACTGGACGTCTGGCGCGTTGATACCATCAGATACCCATTTACTGGCAGACCCCTTCTCAATTTGTTCATCTATATATAAAAGGCCTCTGAATTGTATTCTATGTATAGAAGACCTCTGAACGGTCTTCTATGTATAGACGACCTCTGAACGGTATTCTATGTATAGAAGACCTCTGAACGGTCTTCTATGTATAGAAGACCTCTGAACGGTATTCTATATATAGAAGACCTCTGAACGGTTTTCTATGTATAGAAGACCTCTGAACGGTCTTCCATGTATAGACGACCTCTGAACGGTCTTCCATGTATAGACGACCTCTGAACGGCCTTCCATGTATAAAGACCTCTGAACGGTTGAAAAGACATTTGTCTCCTTTATTTGGAACACCTTTTAGAAGTCTATAGAAAGTCGAAAAGCTATAGAAGACTTCTTAAAGGTATTCCAAGTTAGAAGGCCTCTTATGACCTTGGATGGATGGTATTTTGTATAATTCGGGAAGGAACTTTTTGATGTTCAATGAGGACCACACCCTCACAGCTATTAGTTGTGTGGAAAGTTTTGTCCCCAGAATTACAGACGGTATCGAAATCGAGACTTTGAGCACATCTTCGCCACTTTAGAAGCTTGTTAGGACTTGTTTACTGTCCTAAATTTTGTTCTGGTTTTTGCGTACTAAATAACGATCCTTAAGAAAAATCCAGAACTTTTGTTTCATTGACCTTATGTTAAATTTTCTTTAACAACCATGCTTACTGAAATACATACCCTAATGGAGTGGTTATAAAAAACATTCCTAAAAACCCTCCATCTAATATTCGAATGGGTTCTTGAAAAATGTTTTTTAACACCGCCTAATGCACCAAAGGGTTCTTAATAAAAATTCCTTTAAAAATCCGCGTCTGAGGGCCCAAGGATATTAAATGAAATTTTCTTTAAAAATCCACGCACAGGGGCATTAGGGTTTTTAATAAAATATTTTTTCAAAATCCATGACTGAGGGCCCAAAGATATTAAATTAAAATTTCTATAAAAATCCATGCATATTGGACTTAGGGTTCTCAATAAAATATTCTTTAAAAATCCACGCCTTTTGGCTTAAGGATTCTTAATAAAATATTTTTTAAAAATCCACGCATTTTAACCTAAGGGTTCTTAATAAAATATTCTTAAAAAATCAACGCCTATTGGCCTAAGGATTCTTAATAAAATATTCTTTAAAAATCCACGCTTATTGGCCTAAGGGTTCTCAATACAATATTCTTTAAAAATCCACGCCTATTGGGCTAAGGGTTCTTAATAAAATATTCTTTAAAAATCCACGCCTATTGAGCTAAGGGTTCTTAATAAAATATTCTTTAAAAATCCACTCCTAGAGGCCTAAGGATTCATAATAAAATATTCTTTACAGATCCACGCCATATGGCCTATGTGATGTTAATAAAATATTCTTTACATATCCACGCCTGTTAATAAAATATTCTTTACATATCCACGCCTTATGGCCTATGGGATGTTAATAAAATATTCTTTACATATCCACGCCTTATGGCCTATGGGATGTTAATAAAATATTCTTTAAAAATCCACGCCTATTGGGCTAATGGTTCTTAATAAAATATTCTTTAAAAATCTACGCCTATTGGGCTAATGGTTCTTAATAAAATATTCTTTAAAAATCCACGCCTATTGGGCTAATGGTTCTTAATAAAATATTCTATAAAAATCCATGACTGAGGGTCCAAGGATATTAAATAATATTTTCTATAAAAATCCACGCCTATTGGCCTAGGGATGCTTAATAAAATATTCTTAAAAAATCCACGCCTATTCTAGGCCTTAAAAAATCCACGCCTATTCTAGGCCTTAAAAAATATTCTTAAAAAATCCACGCTTGTTTGCCTAGTGATTATTAATAAAATATTCTTTAGAAAATCCATGCCTATTGGCCTAAGTATTCTTAATAAAATATTCTTTAAAAATCATGGGCGTAGGCGTGTAGCATGTGTTGCTTGGTGTACAGAGTGTCATTTCTGTTCATTTTTGCCTCTCGTATGACCTTTTCCAGTAGCAGTTAAAAAGGTCACACGACAAATTGTCACCTTGTCTGAATCCTCGTTCGGTATTAAAGGGCTCCGAGAGTGGCAGATCTTGTGCCACTGAAAGTTATCCTATATAGCCTTATTAATTTTGCAGGAATGCGGGATAGGGCAGTTGAATGCGGCTGTAGAGTCGACGAAAAAGTTTAATGCTTTTTCGGTCCAATTCATCTCTTAAATATCATCACCGAACATTGTAGGGATCCTTGACCATAATCGGTAATACTACATAATATCATAACATATAGACACCTTTAAATATCTATTTATTCTGATATCTGCTTAATATTGACCGATTATTTTGAAAAGGCTCATACTGGTTCCTTAGTCAGATCAGTCCGAGTGTGTAAAATTTCGTAATATTCATTATTGTAGCAGACAAAAATTTCATTATCTTTGTTCAGAACCCGTCCTACATGCAAAATTTCGTGATGATTGGTCCATAAGTGTCGCTTGTATCGTGTTTGAAAATTATGAAGGGGAAACGAACGGATGGACACGTATGTTTAGATCGACTCAGCTAGTAAAGATCAAGTCAAGTCTAAAATGTGGATCTAGAACCATTATTTTGAGGCGTTAAAAACTCTTGGGGCTACACAAAGCTGTAATACCTGGCAAATTGGTTTTTATATGTGAAACCAAGAAATGGGTAACCCTGTATATAATATGGTCCGATTTCATACAATGGTTACTGAAATATCTGCATGACTGTCCAACTGGCACAAAATTTGGGCATATTTATATAACATATATTATTTCGATCGGGTTTATGTCCGGGATACACCCAAACATTTCTGAATTTTTCGACAAATTTCCTGATTTTTTTAGGTTTTAGACGTATTTTTCAAGTAAAGTCTTTTATATGGCATACCGGGTTCTGGGAAAGTGAAATATAAATATTTTTGAAAAAAAGTCGATATAGGTCTTTGTTATAACATAGTCCTAATATAATGGTTCCTCATGAATGTTTTACATGTGTTAGCCGCATTTTCTCAACGAAGTGGTACCCATTTCCGGTAGCCGCATTTTCCCACAAAATTCTTTGTAATTTGGCATATCGGGTTGGCATACCGGTATATATATATATATATATTCACACAGGTTGCTTTAATTGGTCTACTGCTATTAGTTGCCTAACATTTTTATTTTTTAAATGCCTTCTTTCAACATCACCATTAATATTTCTCGAGTGTTAAAAACCGCTATTATATCTTGTTCTCTTTCCGGATATTCTAATCGGAATGAAATCAAATCTATTTCATCACCGTCATCACCGTCATCAGACATTACTTTCGACTAGATTTACCGGGTAATTTACATGTTTTTAAATAACACATTTGAATATAATTTAGAATATGCGTTTAAATTCGCCACAAAAAAAAAACGCAACCATAAGATTTCGTTCAAAATAATTATCATCAAGAATCTGCTCTTCTTATTCTTGTCTAGTGATGCTAAATTCAGAGATTCAGCGAAAACAACAACAACAAAACTAATTCTTATTTTCGCGGTTTGAAAACTTAAAAGTGGTTACTTGTTCTGCGTGGTTGAGCTGGTTCAACGGTTAGTATTTATGGGCTTATGCGTCGGCTTGGGTTGGGTTCGAGAGCGTCACATATTGTTGTGGTCATCATCATCATCGCCAGCATCATCATTATTATTTGTCGCCTATTCTCAGTGTTGTCTGTTTTTGTTTTTTGGTGACAACAACAACTTCATTATTATGTTCGGATGAGTTTAGCCCGCAGTGGTAGTGGTAGTACTACTGGCATCGATAGCTTGTATTAAACAGGGCAACAACAAGTTATGGTCGGCGATGTTCTGTCATAGCTGTTTTTAGTTTTTTCTCTGTTTTTTTTTTTTTTTTTTTTTTTTTTTGGCAGCGGCAAAGGGGTTATTGCTATGTTAAGAATTAAAAAGTTGTTGTTGAAGGCGATGATGATGATGATGGTGTTCAGCTTAATCAAAAACATCATGGATAGCAATATCTCAGCATTATAATTATAATGATAATCATGTTTCATTTGTGCGTTTTTCTCAGCCAGTTAGCCAGCCATTCAGCGTTTCTCATCATACTGTAACATCCTTAGTTCGAGTTTACTGAGTTTCTCTGTGTGTGTGTGTGCGTCTTATTTCGTAGTTTTTTTTCTGGCGTTATAAATAATTTCGCAATCGAGATTTCAAGCACAGTCATTCGTCGACATTCATTCCGTGGATAGTTCAGAGTGAGAACAACTCAAAACACAATGGTAAGCAGAATTTCAGCAGGACGTTGCAACCGATGGAAATCATATGAAACCTTGGATTACATTGATTTCCGTTACGCATATTACACATGTGGATTACCTGATATGCAGTAGCAGCAAAAATAGAAAACCAACAACAAGAAAATAATTTTTCGTTTTTTCCCCTTTTTGTGCAAAATTTCAGAAACTTTTGTTGGTCTTGGCCTTAGTGGCTTACGTTAGTGCTGATGTGTCGCACTTGTTTGCCAGCAGCAACAACTTGAAAGCTGATGGTTATCATTACGAGCCACCCAAAAAACCTTTCACTGATAAAATTATACGTGAGCCAGTTACAACACGAAAACCAACTCCACCCGGACCCACTGTGAGGGCTGTTCCTCCAGTCACCAAGAAGGAAGATGGTTATCATTACGACAAGCCTTCTAAACCCTTCAACCCAGTAGTCAAACCAGGTCGTCCACTTGTGATCGAGACCCCTAAGCCAAAAATTGTGACCACCAAGCCTACCACTCCTAAGCCCGTCAACAGAGAATACTTGCCTCCCGTTGTTAAGGCAGCTACTCCAGTTGTGCCAAAGACCACCCAGAAGCCAAAACCTGTTACCACCAAGGCCACCACTCCCAAACCTAAACCAGTCACCACCCAAAAACCCAAACCAGTAATCACCAAGGCTACCACTCCCAAACCCAAGCCCGTCAACAGAGAATACTTGCCTCCCGTTGTTAAACCAGCTCCTCCAGTTGTGCCAAAGACCACCCAGAAGCCAAAACCTGTTACCACCAAGGCCACCACTCCCAAACCTAAACCAGTCACCACCCAAAAACCCAAACCAGTAACCACCAAGGCTACCACTCCTAAACCCAAGCCCGTCAACAGAGAATACTTGCCTCCCGTTGTTAAGGCAGCTACTCCAGTTGTGCCCAAGACCACCCAGAAGCCAAAACCTGTTACCACCAAGGCCACCACTCCCAAACCTAAACCAGTCACCACCCAAAAACCCAAACCAGTAACCACCAAGGCTACCACTCCTAAACCCAAGCCCGTCAACAGAGAATACTTGCCTCCCGTTGTTAAGGCAGCTACTCCAGTTGTGCCCAAGACCACCCAGAAGCCAAAACCTGTTATCACCAAGGCCACCACTCCCAAACCTAAACCAGTCATCACCCAAAAACCCGTTACCACCCAAAAACCTAAACCCGTTATCACCAAAGCTCCCACACCCAAACCCCAAACCAGAACTCCCGCTCCCACATACTTGCCCCCCGTAGTCAAAGCCGGTCCCCCAGCCAAAAAACAGGAAGGCTACTTCTATCCCAACAATCCCCAACCATCCTTCACTTTCTAAAGTCCACGAACACTTTAATGTGTAATTAGTCGAAGAAATTTATTACATAGTTTAAGCACCCCCACCCCTGTTTTCTATATATAATATATGTTTTTTAAATATTTAAATTGTTGACGAACAAACAAACAAAAACACAAAAATAATGCCATATTGTTTTGATGCTAAACTGTTCTAGAAGAAAAAAGAAAGAAAAACGGCCTTTATTTGTTGGTATCTTTTCTATGCAAAGAACCAAACAAATTCAAAACAAAACGAACAATAAAAAGAGTTATTAAAAAAATACCTTCAGAGTTTTATTTAAAAAGAAAAAAAAAAACAAAATATTAAATTAAAATGTTCAGTATCCTTTGACATTTTTTAGGAAATGGAAAGGAAAGAAGCATTAAATTTCTCTAATAACTTAAACAATTTTATTACCAGACTAAAATGTATTTTCAAAATTCCTATGTTTTTTTTTCACAACATATAATTGGTAGTGTGAACTTTTATTGCCACTAAAACACAAAAAAAATCACCAATAAAAAAAGAGAAGAGCAAAACTAAAAATTGAAAATTGCTAAAAATAAGAAACTTTGATACAAACCAATCATAGGAACTAACTGAACTGGTTTCTCAGCCTTCTTCTAATCGCCAAAAATCGCAAATTAAATTAGCTCAATTTAATGCTAAATTCAAAATCAAATTCTTTTCCTATTGCATAACATTAATATTGATGGTGATGCTAATGTTGAACACCGGTTTCGTGCATTTTTGATGTCGTAAGATTCGTTCAAAAAAATTTTGGTTATGTATATGCCTAATTCTAGAAAGGAAAGTGAAAGGTATCTTCTTCTTTCAGTTTTAATTGATGGCATACATATTTTATTCTCAAATTAATACTGGCATGTTTAATTAATTAACATATTATTTTTGAATTAAGTAAAAGTGGTAATCACACATTTGCGGGATCACATCATCGGTAACTTTGGATTTTGTGCACAATTTGGGGCAGAAAATAGATATTTGGAGCTGATAACTGTCAAGATATGGTTACCGTATATTTTGAACGAATTGTGATAGGGTGCTGTACCTGAGTGTTTTTTTTTTTGTGTGTAAGCAGGTCAAGTCCGGATTTGTGATCGAATTGGCTGAAACTTGAAATTTAAATTTCTTAAAGAGCCGGAAATGTCAATGAAAAGCCAAAAATAGGTGGAAGAGGTTCAGTCTTGGATATACCCCTCATATAGTAGATATTAGGAGCTGATAACTGTCAAGATATGGTTACCATATATTTGGAATGAATTGCGATAGGGCGCTGTACGTGAGTGATTTCCTGTCTGTAAGCAGGTCAAGTTCAGATTTGTGATCGAATTTGCTATAACTTGGAATATTAATTTCTTGTAAAGCCGGAAATGTCAATGAAAAGCCAAACATAGGTCGAAGAGGATCAGTCTTGGACATACCCCTCATAATTCGGGGTTTAATTGCTACATTGGAATTGCTACTTGAAATGGGCTCAGCGTAAACACCAAGAAACATACACTAGGCTTGGAAGGCTAATTAAAGATCTTTAACATTGCAAAACTTAAACGGCCAAATAACATTGGCCTATATTGAACATTTTCTGGGGAGAAATACTTTCTTTACCAAGAACCTAGAAGGCTTAATTACAGACTTTTCGGTTCGAAAACATTGACTTGTAATGGCTACTTTCCGGGTATGCCAGCCTCCAAAATCCCGAAATGCCAAATTAGAGCCGTTTCGAAAAAGTCGGACGGGACCGACTATATGATACCCTTCACCACATTGGCTATATTCAACAGATGGAATCCTAACAGACATCGCATTTTGAAGGACCATTAACATGAAATTAAACATGTCATGCTTTTTACAATGGGACAAAATTATGTAAATAACTTTAAAGCAAAATCTCGAAATCTAAACCGATTTCATCGAAACTTGTCACATGTTCGGTTACACTTATTTCAGTATGGACGAAAATATATATGGGAGCTATATCTAAATCTGAACCGATTTTCACGAAACTTAGCACATGTCATTCTAAACTTAATTCCATATGCTGTGCCAAATTTCGTGCAAATCGAAGGATGTATAGGGACTTTGGTGCACCATTTTCCTAAAATCGGGCGAAACTATATATGACAGCTATATCTAAATCTGAACCGATTTTCACGAAACTTAGCACACGTTATTCTAGACTTAATTCAGTACACTATGACAAATTTCGTGCAAATCTAAGGATATATAGGGACTTTGGTGCACCATTTACCTAAACTCGGACGGAACTTTATGTGGGAGCTATATCTAAATCTGAACCAATTTTCACGCAACTCAGCACACTCCATTCTAGACTTAATTCAGAACGCTATTCCAAAATTTGTACAAATCGAATGATTTTCAGGGACTTTGGTGCACCATTTACATTAAATCGGACGAAAATATATATGGGAGCTATATCTAAATCTGAACCGATTTTCTCCAATTTCAAAAGGGTCGTCCTTGAGCCAAATAAGTGACTTGTGCCAAATTGCATCCAAATCGAATTATAAATGCGACCTGTACTTTGTTTACAATTTAACATCCGACGGACAGACTGACAGACGGACGGACGGATGGACGGACGTACATGCATAAATCGACTCAGAGAGTGATTCTATGCATATTCTCAAAAGGAAGCATGGGTCTATCTTGATTCCTTTTGCCTGTTACAAACATATGCACAAAGACATAATACCCTGTACCACAGTGTGGTGAAGTGTATGAGTGTCTCGAAATACCTATAAGTGGGCGGGAACTGTATATTGGAGCTATATCTTAAATATTGCTATCTCATTTTAACTGCAATATTTTATCTCTTCCCATACTGCCTGGTATCGTTATTTCGTTTTTGTACTGATTTGCGTCGATTTAGCGGAATCCGTCTGTCTGTTGATTTCAACAGATGTCAACAGACAGAAGGATTCCGCTAAATCGACACAAATCAGTACAAAAAACGAGATAACTATATGCAGTTAAAATTAAAGCATAATCGGAATCGACACTGTTTCCAAAAATCCCGAGGACAGTTTTGCCCTTTATGAGCGATTTCCACAGTATTCAATGAAACCGAGCAATGATCTACGATTTTAAGACACTTAAATATATATATAAAATAAAAACAAAACAAACAATTATTTTGGACGAATCAACAAATTAATTATAGCATACACAACAACGTTGTCAGGATTTTATCGCTTTGTATCTCCCCAAGAGTTTGTAACGCCGCGAAATATTGATCCTAGACCCAACTTTAAGTATACCTATCGTCATATCTTGACTCACTGAGTCGATTTAGACATGTGTGTCCTTCCGTCCGTTCGTCTGTGCATTACAATTTGTAAACACGATACAGATCATAGTTATGGACCAATCATCACGTTTGCATGTAGGATGGGCTCTGGAAAAAGAAGGTCCCTATTGATTTTGGTAATGATCCGTTAATATTTAGGGGATGAAATGGACCAAAAACTTTATTATTGTCTGTTTTTCTGGCCACAATTATTACTCGAACATCACGAAATTTTGCATAGAGAATGGGATCACGCCAAAGCATAAGCGTGCCTGTTTTGATAAAGATCGGCCAATATTTAGCGGGATAAATGGTCCCTGACTTTCACAGTATATCCAAGAGGAGTGGTTGACCTTTAAATTAATATCAATTATGTGGCTGTACGTACTCGGCCTACGAATTCTGATATTGTTTAGTATTACAATTAACCCACTATAGGGAGGAAATGTAGCGCTGATGGCTAGGACATTTTGCTTGAGGTTCCGGTTATAGCCAAGACGACGCCGGCGATGAAATTGACAAATTTTCTAAGAGGAAGGTGAACGGTCAAATGAATGGAGTACATTTCTACTGCGGAAATATGCCGAGCTGCTTGCCTCTAATCTGCCAAGAGAGGACAAATATCGCGTAGTATTGCCCAGGTTTATCTTTATTTAAGGGTCTTTAAATCGCAGGTCATTGTTCGGTTTCAGAACCCGCAAGAAATCTACCCATATATAAATTTTAAATTAATTAGATTAGATGATATCATATCAAAAGGCCAAAAAAACAATCAATACTCAATATTAAATTGGATTTTTTGTTTTTGTGTATTGGAACAGCCATAAATAATGCTCCAATTCAATTTTTTTACATTCATAATTTCAAACGAATAGGGAGATGCCTATCCACAATACCTCTCTTCAGATAATGTAGCATAATTTTCGGAGTTTAACTATTGTGATTGATAAACATATTTTGTCCTAAAATTAAAAAAAAAAATTCAAGTTTACGTCATAATTACATCTATAATACGACTCCGAATGTATACATTAAATAATGTGTTCCCTCAATTAAATATATTCAATACATATTATTTATTATTAAATATTTGTAAAATATATTGAATTAAATATAAATTCAACTAAATACTATCCTATAAATTAATGTAAAAACTTGACGCAAAAACAAAACTTTTATTGTCATTTTTGATTATATCTTTGAAATTTATTCATAAAGCTTTATAATCAACGTTTCTTTCTTAAGTCTTTTGTTTTGTGTGCAATTTAAAAGCTGCGATTAAAATTTGTAATTATGCCTAAAACTATGCTTATTTAGCTTCCGTATAAAGTATGTAGTATATAATGTTCAATTCTGATCGATACAACGCTTTGGAAATAATCGTATATATTTAAGAGATAATGTTGGCCGTACTATTTAATAAAACAAAAACAAATAAATATTTCTATGGTATGCCAAATATCCTCCAACACTACTTTATAAAATATTTAAGTATGTTTAGAAAAACTTGATAGTACTGTATTTCTTTAGAAAGTCAAATATGAATCATTTTATACTTTTCACGATTAAAGAAATTTCGTAAAGAACAGTTATGCGATTTTTTGCGGCTCTAAAGTTAGTGGGTGATATAAATGCGCTTACAATAACTCACAAATTCATATAAATTCTCATT